CATTCTATTTTATGTTTTCCATAAGTCACTGTCCAGGAGGCCTAACAACATTCTATTTTATGTTTTCCATAAGTCACTGCCCAGGAGGCCTAACAACATTCTATTTTCCATAAGTCACCGCCCAGGAGGCCTAACAACATTCGATCTTCTGTTTTCCATAAGTCACTGCCCAGGAGGCTTAACAACATTCTATATTTTGTCTCCCTCAAGTCACTGACCAGGAGGCCTAACAGAATTCTATATTTTGTCTACCTCAAGTCACTGACCAGGAGGCCTAACAGCATTCTATATTTTGTCTCCCACAAGTCACTGCCCAGGAAGCCTAACATTCTATTAATATAATTAACGACACATTATCAAGAAATATATATAACAAACACCACGCACAGAACATAAAAAGTTAGGCAGTACGAAAACTTACGCTTCTGGGAAGACAATTACAACTTTAAAAACGCAAATGATGAACTGAGAAACCATATTTGTTTCATTATTATAACTTTATTTCTCGAAAGGTCAAACAGTGGCCGTTCTTTAGTGGTCAGTATCAAACCAGTTTTATTTCGGTGCCTTGAGAAATTAACCTTGCCACTGAAGCCTTTAAACCTGTGTCTCAAGAGTAATTGTTGACCCTAAATATTTTAAACAATTCAGTGTTTCTCAATCTGTGGTAAGGGTAACCCTAGTGGTCATGGAAGGGGGGGGGGGTAAAACGAAAGAAGAAAGCGAGATGAATCGAAGTAATTAAAACATAAGAGGGAAAAGGAAAAACATTTTCCTCAACACAGTTCAAAAGCAATAATTACTAAGATAAAATATACTATATATATATATTCAGTATCAGAATCAAGGTGGTACGCGAATTTGTTCTAAATTTAAAAACATTAGATTCAAAGGTTTGGGAGCCATTGATATAATAATTACCTGATAAACAGCCTTCCCAGGTATCACTGTTTTCCTGAAACGAACAAAGTTTAGATAAAAAACAAATAAAAGTATACTTCATTGAAATATACAAGGCTCAGTGAAGCAGTTAAAAGCTTCCTACATTCAAAAGTGCAAAACTCAATGGACCAATTAAAAGCTTCCTACATTCAAAAGTGCAAAACTCAATGGACCAATTAAAAGCTTCCTACGTTCAAAAGTGCAAAACTCAATGGACCAATTAAAAGCTTCCTACATTCAAAAGTACAAAACTCAATGGACCAATTAAAAGCTTCCTACATTCAAAAGTGCAAAACTCAATAGACAAATTAAAAGCTTCTTACATTCAAAAGTGCAAAACTCAATGGACCAATTAAAAGCTTCCTACATTCAAAAGCGAAAAATTCGACGAGCCATTTAAAAGCGTCCAAGATTGAGAAGTGCGAAACTCAATGAACCAGTTAGTAAATCCAACATTCAGAAATGTAAAACCCAGTGAACCCGTTAAAATGTTACTACCTTAAAAAACAAATAAACTAATTAAAAGCACATAATGATAATGGAAAGTTCAATAAGCCAATTGAAAACATGTTTTAATCACAAGCTGGAATGATGTACATAAATACACCAAAGACACATTGAAAAAATACGATCATTGGTTTAGAGGGTACTTTCTCAAAACGTAAATATACTTACTTCTGAAGAGTTAAGCCTATGTTTAATTGCCTTTTTATCTCAGCAAATGCCTAAATAATAAATAATGTAACATGACTTAAAACTTCGTATTCAGCATTATGAACTCTTTGGACTAAGACGTCATCAGTAAAAAGTTTCATTTATCGCACAGTAAATTCAATTTTTGTTTTACGATTATATTGTAGTTTTAATATTGATGTTAAGGTACGTCAGAAGGGAAGATGTGTTGTAGATATATGATTATATGGTAGTTTTAAATATTGATGTTAAGGTACGTCTAGAAGGGAAGATGTGTTGTAGTATAACCAACCTGTAATAAAAACTGATTACAAAAATCTACAGATTTTTCTAGGTTTAAACAAAGAGAACGCTTACTTGTTTTATGGAACAACTAATGTAAAGAAGGAAGAGTCGGCCAGGGTCACAGAGAATCCCTGTTGTATTCTGGGAAACGATGTCTTTAAGGCCCTGCGTCAAAATGTATTTGAAAATATAATTGTCCGTGATATTCTTTCTAAACAATAATGTAACTTTTTAAAAACGATTTTTAAAATAATGAATTGCAACGGTTCTTAAAAATAAAATACAACACAACACGATAATCTTTGTTTACATGTTCCAATGTATCTCTCTCTCTCTCATAACTCTATTACTTCAGATGTATTCCAATGATGTAAGTTTAGAAACGAGTGTATAGCAGTCAGACTTGATCTATTATGATATTGTAACTGATGTATAGCAGTCAGACTTGATCTATTATGATATTGTAACTGATGTATAGCAGTCAGACTTGATTTATTATGATATTGTAACTGATGTATAGCAGTC